AGTAAAAGAGAAAAAAAAATGAAACAAAAATTTCCAGTGGGAACTCTTTAAAACCATGTAAGTACAGAACTCACAGGCATCGCCAGAGGGTTTCTATCCATATGAAAAGGCAAGGGCTGTACATTCCTTTGTTTCTGTAGAAACAAGTGATCATAACATTGACATGGGTCACACAACTACTTCAGAAATTCAGTCCACAGACATTTAATTTGGGCACATTTTTTTTTTAATTCAATTTGAAATATTCTAAGAAAAGGTGGGCATTTCCCATTTCAGCACAGTCCTCCCCAATCCTTTTCTGGTTTTATCTGCTTCACTTATTATTTACCTGCTTTGCCCTCTTAAGCATTTGTGTTAAAAATCCCTGCTTAACAAACAACAGAAACATGGGTGGCCATGAGATAGTTTTCTTTATATCTATAGTATATTCATATGCAGCACACACATGTTATCTTGAGACAATTTCTGAGGAGGCATTTGCTCTCTTATTGTATTTATGTTAATATTGTGGTCTCTTCCTTCTCCTTCTTTCCTTTTTGAGCACTGACATTACATTTTTTTTATTCCTATTATTTAATTTGTCTCCTCTTGGCCAGGGGCAGATATGTGTCAGAGAAGGAAAGAGGCTTTCTTTCAGCTGCTTAAAAAAATCTTTATTGTCCTAGCTGGTTTGGGTCAGTGGATAGAGCATCAGCCTGCGGACTAAAGGGTCCTGGGTTTGATTCTGGTCAAGGGCACATGCCTGGGTTGCGGGCTTGATCCCCAGTGGGGGACGTGCAGGAGGCAGCCAATCAATGATTCTCTCTCATCATTGATGTTTCTATCTCTCTTTCCCTCTCCCTTCCTCTATGAAATCAATAAAGATATACTTAAAAAAATCTTTATTGTTGAAAGTGTTACATGTCTCTTTTTCCTTCCATTGACCTCTTCTAGCCTGCCCCACCCCCCACCCCAGGTGTTCATCACCCTATTGTCTGTCAACTGCTTTTTTTTTTTTTTTCTGGTGTGGATTTCTTATTAAAAAACACATTTTTATTGATTTCAGAAAGTAAGGGAGAAGGAGTGATAGAAACATCAATGATGAGAGAGAATCATTGATTGGCTGCCTCCTGCACACCCCACCCAGGGAATGGAGCCCATAATCCGAGTATGTGCCCTAACCTGGAACCGAACAGTGACCTCCTAGTTCATAGGTCAATGCTCAGCCACTGAGCCATGCCACCTGGGCTGGTGTGGAATTCTTAGAGATGCTTAAAGAAAGAATGAAAAACTTCTCTGACTTCTGTCCTCTGGGAAAGATATGGTTTTGAGGTCCAGTGAAGTGTTAGTGTGCATACGAGGAGGTGGTAGTGTGTGAGTTGATCAGAGGAGGTCAAAGTCAAGTTGCTTTTCTCCTCTGAGCCTCACCTACCAAAAGGCAAGTGATGATATTTCACATAATTCACACTCAGTTTTGATAAAAGATCCAGTAAAGTGCCCAACATTTTGGAAATCCAGCACATGTAGATTGCCATTCCCCTTCCTTTTAATCTTCTCAGAAATGAGGATTATATACCAGACACTGCCAGTGATATCAAAGTATATAAAAGGATTTCTGATGAGAATGTCAGGGAAAGGTTGCAATAAAAATGTACTCTTGCCAATTAAAGCTCCCTAAAACCCCCACACAATGTCTATATGCCTTATATATAAACTCACTTTTGTGTGTGCTCTCCCACATCTATGCTGCATCTGTGTCCGTGTAAGGCTATGTGTGCACACATGGATGTGCTATTTGTGTGCGGATCGCTGTGTTTTGTATGCAGGTGTGTGCACAGGAAGAAACAGGGCTGGAGGAAGAGGATACATTGCAGTAGCTACTTGCTGGTAACTCTTATTCAGTGTATTGTAACTCATGGCAAATAAAATAAAGTTTGTTTATGACGTTGGTCTTATCTCCTAATTAAAATCATAGGCTTGCAGCTTCTTTATACCTGCATAAAAGAAGCAGTGTAATTTCTCTGCACCAGGGGGAAAATTATGTCATTGCCTGTTAGGGAACCCATCAGTACATAGTGTGAAGCAAGCAAGGGCCCTTACGCAAGCCTCATTCTCAACGAGATTTGCCCTCTCACACTCTGCAAGGAGCATGAATCTATCCTCTGAGGTTTCCTCAAGGGCAGCAGGGGTGCATTTCAAGTTGTCCTACGCCATCACAGTGCCAAAGGAGGAGAAAGTTCTTCTATCTCTGAATAACTCATCTAGAATATTTCCCCTCCATCAGCGGTTTTCAACCAGTGTGCCGCAGCACACTGGTGTGCCACAGAATTTTCAAAACATGCAAGACCTGACTATTTAGTCAGGGCCACTGACCTCTTTTCCCTTAGATTGGCAAATTAAAAAAAAATGACAGCAGCCCACATAACAATAGCCACCCCGTATGAATAAATCAAAATTATACCTATTTTTTTTAGATCAGCAGTTTAGTCAGGGCCACTGACCTCTTTTCCCTTAGATTGTCAAATTTTTTTAAAAAATGACAGCAGCCAACATAACAATAGTTACCCAGTATGAATAAATCAAAATTATACCTATTTTTTTAGATCAGCAAAAAATATATTTTAGTAATTACTTATGTGTGCCACAAGATGAAAAAGGTTGGAAGTCCCTGCCCTAGATTATTCACACATGAATGGAAAAAAGTTACATAATGCATCCATTTCTTTAAAATTTGCTGATAACTAGTAATAACTTATTTCAATAAAGCCAAAGCAAATATTTGAGAGAAAGAAAGTAAGCTGGTCTTGGAAGCTGTAAAGAAATAAAAGAAAAACAAACAAACAAAAACAAAAATGAATCTTAGCAGTTAAAGGGATTGAGTTTGTTTTAAAGCTTAATTTATTATATGAATATATGCTATGCTAACATTTTAACAATCATGCTATTAAATAGTTTTATTTTATAAGGTACGGAATTGTTTTTGGCTTTATTTTGTACTTTGGGCCCCATGATTCAGACCATGTGTAGAAGTATCTCCAACAACTGGTGGTAGTTTAGCCAAAGACAGGAAAAAGTGTAAGAGGAAATAAGTTTACTTTCTTCTTCGGTCATTCAGCAAACATCAGGAACTCAAAGGAATCAGGATAATAATGGTGAAGGTTCTATGTTACTAATGAAGCCAGACGCATAAACAGTGGGCAGGTTATGCCAGGTTATGATAAATGATAAGCCATTGAATGGCTTTAAGTAGGGGAATGTGAGAATCAGGAAGACCGGTCTGGCCACAGTGTACAGAGGGGATTGGAGGAGGCAAGGTAGGTACAGTGAGATTGGCTAGTGATGTTTTACAGCAATCCAGTCCAGAGATGGTCACGTTTTGGACTAAGGCGATCACAATGGGTAGGGAAAGGATAGATCTGATTCAGGGCATTTAGTAGGTGAAATACACAGGCCTTAGAGATGGATTTTAGGATGTGAGTGGAAAAGAAGAGAGAAGGGTGAAGACCTGTGTTTACTACCTGACTGTAGTTACACACAGGTTGCTTCATATGAATGGCTGGTTGGTAGAAACACTTGCTGAACCAGGCAGGGAACACTGGGGGAATAATGGACTGGGATGAGGTACGCTGTGGGGCATGTTGAGTTTGAGGTGCTTGTAGAACATCCAAATAGAAGAATCTACCAGGAAGCTAATTTTTCAAGTTTAAAACAAAGAGAAGGAGACCTCAGATTGATATTTAATTTATGAGTTGTCTCCAGAAAGATGGTAATTGAGGAATAGAAGAATCTACCAGGAAGCTAATTTTTCAAGTTTACAAAAAGAGAAGGAGATCTCAGATTGAGATTTAATTTATGAGTTGTCTCCAGAAAGATGGTAACTGAGGGAAAGTAAAATGAGAGTGGAAGATGTCACTGAGAAACAATGTGTTGAGTGAAAAGAGAAGAGGGTCAAAGCTGAGGGTTGAGGAATGGTCATATGATAAGGATAGCAGAAAGTTAAATATTCAAAAGAGACTAAAAGAAAGACCAGATGACATGATGCAATAGAAGTACCTGGAAGAAAATGCTTCAAGAAGGATGAAATCGCCGGTGGTATCAAAGATTCACAGGAGTTTAACTAAAGGAGAGATCTGAGTGCCTAGGTGTGTCTATTGGATTTAAATACTAGAAAGGCAATAACACCTGTAGTGGGACCAATGTTATTGAGTTACCATAAGTAGAAGCCAAATTACACATATTGGGGGGATTTTCAGTAAGTATCATAAGGTGAGTGTTAATCATAGCTATCACTTGTCAAGATTATTCATTTTATCAAGTGCTTAAAGGCAGTTTGGGTATCATCAGACTCAATTATTATTGTGGAAACCAAAGCCTCGGTTCACTCACTTTCCAAGGTGACACGATATGAAGAGAGGAGTGTTGAGATTTGAGCATGTTTTCTCTGATGTCAAAGCCGATACTTCTGTCCATTTGACTTGGGGATGACAGACTTCTTGAGCAGCAGGTTTTGCCTCAAGGTCCTTTGGGGATATGTGCTTTGGAAAATATTGAGAACAAAGGGATCATGAAATCACTTAAATCAGTTGAATCACTAAAATAATTCAGACAGAACAAAACAAGCAGTGAGATTATAGGGGATCCTCTTCATGAGTAAAAAGCAATAAAAGCAATAGTTTGATGAGGAGTGACATGGAGAAGTGAGCAGGGAAGAGGTGGCAGAGAGGAGGGATGGCCCCAATGTCAGGGACAGAGGACCACAAGACTATGTTCCCAGGACTTAAAAAATAGAGACAAAAAAAATGAAGCCTTGTTTGCATGCAAGCCTAACCTTGCACAATATTTCAGCTCAATTCAACAATGAAGGACTAAGTCAAGGAGAAAAATACCAATATTTTATATTTTATATAGATCCCAGATGGCCCTTTCTGTGCCAAGTACAGATGACTTTATATTTATGCTTTAATTTCTTGTATTTATTCTCTCCCACTAACTCTATATTTTCTCCTCTCTTCTTTGTTTAGATCATGCTTCTCAGTGATCCTGAAATGGAGAGCAGCATATTGATCAGCTCAGATGAAGGGGCAACTTATCAGAAATACCGGCTCACCTTCTACATCCAGAGTTTGCTCTTCCATCCCAGGCAGGAGGACTGGGTGCTGGCCTACAGTCTGGACCAAAAGGTGAACAAATACTGTTTTCTTTCACATCTTGTCACCCAGGTACCACTCATTGAAAAGCACTTGTTTATTCCATCCAAATTTTGGAAGGGAGCATTTCATTATTCCAAGCAAGTTGATTTTGTCTTCAGTAACCAACTTTCCTATCTACTCTTAAGTATCAAAATATGTGGAAGTTATCTTTTATTTATTGGCAATGCTCTTTATTATTTCACAGATTCAAGATAGTTTTCTATATAACTTTATTCATTTGACCTTTAAAACAACCTTGTGAGATAAATAGGAAATGTGTATTCATAATAATTGTATAGTGACTGTAGTACACACAGGTGTTCAGATGCACCCAGCTAGTAACTGGAGGAGCCAGGATTTGAAAGCATATTTTCTCACCTTTATAGCACCAGACCTCAGCACAGTGCCTGGTACTTAATAAGTGCTCAGTAAGTATTTGATAATAATATCAAGTGGCTGAATGTATAAATGCGATGGGAACAAACCCTCTATAGTTGATCAATCTATACTTAAGAAAATGGACTTTAGATGATTCCTCTTCATATTTCCTGCCATCTCTAGAGCCTTAGTACTGTGATTGATGTCAGTATAATGTTGTGGAATCAATTAATGAAAGGAAATAGAAAATTCCAAGCACTGTCTTGCATAGAGAGATCCACGGGCATAACCTTCATTGAAATAGTTTCTTCTCTTTGTTCTTTCTTAAATCCTGAAATAGTTGCTGATCAGTATATATTACAATATGTGGTTATAAATGTAAGTGTGTGGTGAATGAGTGTGTGTGTGTATACATGTGTGATGTCAGCACCTTTAAACAATAATTTCAACATAACCTTTATCTCTCTCATTCATGGAGCTTCGAGGTGGGCGTCAGGTGCTTAATGCAATCCCTTAAGGACACCCACATGACATTTGCAGAGCAAAAGCCATTGCAAATACATTCTTTCATGGCATCAAGTGGATATTGTATGAAAGACTTAGCCAAATGTCAGATGCTCTGTGAGTTTAAATGCTTAATATATTCAGGAACTTTGAAGCTATGTTGAAATAGAAAGAACTTTCTTAGATGATGTTAAATGGCTAGATGGTAATTTAGAAGAAGCTCAGAACTCCTAAACCATGTTTTTATGTATATGCAGACAAGCTAGATTAGAAGCAACAGGCATCTCATGCCAAGAGGCTGATGAACCAAATGCAATGTGTCTTGTGTGTATCTAGATGGAGTATCCTTTCTCTCCATCACTGCAACGCGGAGAACATTCCGGGCATTGATCAGGAAGTATCCACCCTTGTGGACAAAATATATTCAAAACACTTTCAGGCTCGGTGGCTGCTTCTTCACTTAGTAAAAATATTTGGAAATGTGGCCATGTTGTTGATGGATGTTCCTAGCCACACTGCACATTTCTGGATGGGTGGTCCCTTAGGTACTCTTTCTTGTTGGCATCTTTTGTGTAAAGTGGCTGACTATTCTTCAGGCCCATAAAGTTTCTAAGTGGTGCCCTGCCATTCTTTTAAATAAATGGTGTGAAGAGGCAGATGATGCCTCTGGAAATATTTGCAGAGATGACATAAAACACCCAGATCCAGTCATCCAAGTTTCAGGAGAGTTTTTCTTTATTTTTGGGTAATTTATCGGTTTAGAGTCAAGGAGAGTGATGCTGTACAGCAGCAAATGAAGATGTAAGGGTGGTTAAGATTGATGTACAATTGTCTTGTTTCAGACGGGAGCCTTCTCTGATGTGCATGCACTGAGGCAGCTGGTTGCTTCTAGAGAAAATGAAAAGTGCTAGTGGGAAGGAAACAGCAGCATGAGAGGGAGGTGTTTGTGTTTCCATTATTGTGCCTTTGATGCAATGCATCAGCAATTTCTTTAGAATCGGTAAGGCTGTCTCATTCTGTTGTATGTATTACAAAAGACATAATTGAATGATATTTTAAACAGGCCATATCCAATTGCTTCATCTTCCAAATTGCTACCCTGAACCTGCAGGAGACTTGGCAGGAGATCTCACTTGGTAAAAACACTGCTGGAGAACTAAGGAAATACCTTCTGGATAGAACAGAATTGTATCTAGAAGTTGGGAGATGCACCTAGTGTTGTGTTAGTTAAGGCGCCTCATAGCAACTTTTGAGTCAACTGGGAAACATGGCTACCTTACCCTGGTCAAGGCCAGGGTGTGGGTTAAGGTCCAAGCCTTTCAACTTCCAAAGCTGCAAAGGGGTGGGTAGGTAGGGTGCAAATGCACCTTGCACTTGACCCTGTAGGAGGGCCATGCCTCTTCGGTTCTGATGCGTCCCAATATAGCAAAGTCCTTTCTGTTTCCTGCTCAGCTTGACTTGGGCTTTTGACCAAGTCCTTCCATTCTGGCTATCCTATGAGAGTCCCAATTCCTGCAAATTTCTGTGCCAGCTCTTGCATTTTAATAAAAGGACTCAGTACTTAGTAAAGACAAAAGATTATTTCTTGGGTATAAGAATCTTTGGAGCCAGGCTGGCATGGCTCAGTGGTTGAGCATTGATCTATGAACCAGAAAGTCATGGTTCAATTCCAGGTCAGGGCACATGCCCTGGTTATAGACTTGGTCCTGGGGGGAAGGGGGTGTATGCAAGAGGCAGCCGATCAATGATTCTCTCTCATCGTTAATATCTCTCTCTCTCTCTCTCTCTCTCTCTCTCTTTCTTGCTCTCTGAAATAAGAGATATATGATATAAATATGATATATATTCAGTTTTAAAGGAATCTTTGGAGATGCTTTATAAGAATTTCTGTGATTAAAAACACCAGCAAAAGTAATAGGTTACAGTTGACCAACTTGGAAAGAAAAGAAATAAAAACACTCCTGCCCTCCCTACTTCTCCCCTCCCCTCTCTTCTCTCTTCCTTCCCCTCCTCTTCTCACCACAGTTCTAGAACATCTTTTGAGGGATGACTGTTTACCAGTTATTTAACAGGCAGGATTCTTTTTTTGTTTTCATCAGGCTATTTCCTCACTGGTGACTGACATAGCTTACCTTATGCGGTTTTAGATTAGCTGGAGGGCTCAATAATCTTACTAAAACTGATAATTTTTGAAAGATTTTGATACAGGTTTTGAGAACATTGAAATCCTCTAAATCAGCGGTTCTCAACCTGTGGGTTGCGACCCCTTTGGCGGTCGAATGACCCTTTCACAGGGGTTGCCTAAGACCATCCTGCATATCAGATATTTACATTACGATTCATAACAGTAGCAACATTACAGTTATGAAGTAGCAACGAAAATAATTTTATGGTTGGGTCACAACATGAGGAACTGTATTTAAAGGGCCAGAAGGTTGAGAACCACTGCTCTAAATAGATAGGTGCTGCTCATCGTAGGCAGCCAGTGTTTAAACACCCCTCATTTTGACAAAAGACTCAATGTATTTTTTTAATGCGCACGTGCTCATGTATTCAGGGATGCATACACCCTGGCACAGGGCCTTCCACCAGAAATGGGGGTCTGAAAATAGCTATATTTCTGCAAGAGAGGTGGGATTGCAAAGCTCTTTATTATCGTTTGTCTTCTTGGCAAAATGCAACTTTAACAAATACAGCTGGCTTTGGAGATCAGAGATGGGATTTCAGATTCTATTGTTTTTCAGACTCTTTTGGGCTAGACTGATGTGGCATTGCCAATAATGTCCATGTAAAATACACTTTCTAAAACACTAGTGCATTAATGATAGGTTGCTGTTACAGAAATTGAAGAGGTGGGTGTGCAGCTATGGTCTTTTTTGTGTGTTTGTTGTTTGTTTTTTATTACCAGCTACCAGCCAAGTTCAAAACCAGCTGAGGGATTGACTAGCTGGTTAAGAAGCTGATGCAATTTTAGACATGGTCGCTGGAAAGACAGGGCCAACTGTGGAGGCTCCATTCGGGCTTTGCTGCTTGGGTCCCACCTCGGGCTACCACATCACACACGCGCAGAGCACGGGGGATTAGAGTGTGTCTGGAGTGGGGAGGGCTTGAACATTCTAAAGGAAGTTTAAACCTGCACTTCTAGAATGCTGAATGAAAATGAAGCTGTTCCTTCCATTTAAATTCTCATATAAACCCTCCGATTAGAAATGTAATTGTATTCAGAGCCTCCAGGATTAGCAGGTGATGATAACTTTCCTCGGTAGCCATTGGCAGAAGCAGGCGTCACGTCTCCCCACCTGGTGGGGATAAAAGCTGTTGGGGATTAACTAGGGATGACAGTGGTTTTTAAGCTTATCCCGCATGGAATACGTGTAGGACTGAAGGGCACTTTTTATTTAAAGAAAAACATTGCATTTTCATTAGGCCCTCTCCCATGCCTATAAAAACCATTTGTGTATCATTTAAGAGAAAAACAATCCACAGCCCCACAGCATATGGGGATGTGCTATCGCCATCACCATAAAAACACCAGTTTCCATGAGGCCACTTTCCTGTAGGTGAAAACAAAATCAATGGTCCAAGAATGGCTCTGTTCTTTATTAAGAAGGTGGAGCAACCTCTGTGTTATTCAAATATTCCTATTAATATATTTGAGCTAAGTTCTGAATAAAATAACTGGTTTAATGTATGCTATTTTTAAATATATATTTGTATTGATTTTAGAGAGGAAGGGAGAGGGAGAGAGAAATAGAAACATCAATGATGAGAGAGAATCATTGATTGGCTGCCTCCTGCATGACCCCCACTGGGGATCGAGCCCGAAACCCAGGCATGTGCCCTGACAAGGAATTGAACCACGACTTCCTGGTTCATAGGTCGAACCTCAACCATAGAGCCACGCTGACTGGGCTAATGTATACTATTTACTTGCATCCAATGAGGGTGGTGTGGAAAGGATCTCCACCCATGTCAACACTGCTCATGAGAACATTCACTCAAGGGAACAACCTTCAGAAAAATTGTGCATCTGATGGCCTTTGTCTTTGTAAGCCTGCTCTTTCTCTGTCACATCTCAGACTTTCTGTTCTCTTCTTCTATCTTCTAGC